AGTATAACAAGCATGCTTTACTGCATATACAGGCTGATTTTACTGTTGTGGGTTTAGTAACACTTTATGTTCCACTTTAAGAGGTCACCAATGGTAGCGTCCATATTGTTCTCTGTACAGGTTCCCAATTAGGCATGTCTGACCCAAAAAATTAAAATATTACAGCGTATCAATCCTTACATATCGCTTGCTGGATTTCTGGACCTTGCTACTGACATATTTCCTGTCCTAGGGGGGACAACGCGCACACACTGTGTCACTGGAGGAACACAATGTTGTCACTCTGTGTTGCTCTCCTAATTTAAGCCTGGTACAAACAATGAAAATATCGGAGAAACAATTGTCCGTATTTTTTATGCATGCTAGTCTCATATTGAAAACGATTTGGTTACTAAAGATACAAAAATTCTCATAAAACAGATTACAACTTCCTGTGATGATGTATTGTATTGTATTGTAATGTAGATATCTGGGAACAATATTTAAGTTTTATATATCAGTTTAGTTTAGTGGTCTCCACATTGTGGCCCAAGGGCCAAAGGCGTCCCTTTGCTTGCTTTTATCCAGCTTTTGGGGCATTATTCCCCCAATGTCAGTAACAGAGGGGCATAGTTCCACTGACAATGAGGCACTATTCCTCCCACTGACACCAATGAAAGGGCACTATTCCTTCCACTGACACCGACGATGGGGCACTACTCCTCTCACTAACACCAATGATGGGGCACTATTCCTCCCACTGACACCAATGATGGGGCACTATTCCTCCCAGTGACACCAATGATAGGGCACTATTCCTTCTACTGACACCAACGATGGGGCACTACTCCTCTCACTAACACCAATGATGGGGCACTATTCCTCCCACTGACACCAACGATGGGGCACTATTCTTCTCCTTAATACCAAAGATGGGGCACTATCAGGGGTGGACTGACCATTTGGAAACTCGGGCACTGCCCGGGGGTCAGTAGGGGGCCCCTTGAGATGCCCCTGGTACCTTTTTCATAGGCTTTTTTGAGTTTGGGCACGGACACAGGGGCCCCATGATCCCCTATTGCCTGGGGGCCCCACGAGTTGTCAGTCCGCTCCTGGGCACTATTCCTTCCACTGACACCAACGATGGGGCACTATTCCTTCCACTGACACCAACGATGGGGCACTATTCCTCCCTCTGACACCAACGATGGGGCACTATTCCTCCCTCTGACACCAACGATGGGGCACTATTCCTCCCTCTGACACCAACGATGGGGCACTATTCCTCCCTCTGACACCAACGATGGGGCACTATTCCTCCCTCTGACACCAACAATGGGGCACTATTCCTCCCCTGACACCAATGATGGGGCACTATTCCTCCTACTGACACCAATGATGGGGCACTATTCCTCCTACTGACACCAACGATGGGGCATTATTTCTTTCCCTAGTACCAAACCAACGAGGAGAGACGCTATTTGAAGTTTAAAGGACAGTAAACTGGCCCTGTGTTTAGAAAGTTTGGAGACCCCTGGTTAAGAACATATTGGAATTTTTCAAGATATACTGGGGTTGATTTTCTAAAGGCAAATATGTTGGGCACTTTGCAAGTTGCACCCTTTTTACCAGAGCTTAGTGAATGAGGTGAAGCTCTGCTGTTTCCCATCATCCAATCATGAGCAAGCAAAAATGCTTTTTTTTTTTTTAATTTTCCTTGCACCTGATTGGGTATTCTGTACAAAGTGACGCTTCATCACATTACATTTAGTAAGGAAAATGAGTGCAGCTGCACTTGCAAAGTGCGCAGTCTGTTTGCCTTTAGTAAACCAAGCCCATAGTATCATTGAGCAGTCAGTGAAGGTTGTTTTTGTTCATCATTCTGAGATGGTTCTTATTAGTGTTGATGTTATCTCCATGTTTCTGTCTTTCAGCTGATACAATGGCAGCGCGCCCAGAGGTGGAGCCTCCTGATGTTTTCAGTCTCATCCTTGAGTCCAACAAAGGTAGAAATAGAAGGGCATCACTGTAGGCACCCAATGACAGGCTGAAAATGCTAGTTGCCTGGCTGTTATTCAGATCCCATGGCTTCGATTCTTTCTGCCTTATGGGCTGGAACCAGGAATGTAGATCTGGACTTCATCCACTACACTCCTGTTCCAGGTCTTGTGACTCCAATGAAGCCAGAGACAGCCAGGTCATCAGCATTTTCTGGGCCAGGTATGGTGGCCCCCATGCTCCTCTGAGTACAGGTTTCCTTTAAACGGTAATTCCACTTTCATGGGAAACAAATAGCAAAAAAAATAAATATAGCATATAGGATTGCTGCACAATTCATATTGTAATTGAATGTTATAAAAATGTCCTTTCCTTTTTAATCTGCAGCGCTGTCATTTCTGGAAAATTCAATGCAGTATGGCTGCCTGGAGGCATTCGGTACACAGATGGTGTACAGAGCGCCCCCCAGAGATATCATGTCCTGCTTGTGTGATTGGCTCACTGATTTTCCCAGAAGTCTGCACTAAGATACAAGTCAGATTTTGGGCAGATTTTTGGTGAAATAGTCCCAAAAGAAAATCACGTCTAAAGGGATGCAGACCCTGCCATAGACGGGTCGAAAATCAGCTGATTTTTCGGCAGAATAAAAAATCAGCCTATTTTCACACCGTTAGTGGGTTAATTGGTCGGCCGTTTTTCGGGATTTTGGCACATTTTTTTTATCGGTAAAGTTAGAAAAACATTGGTAGATTTTGCCAATCGGACGATTTTCGTGGCAATGATGGGCAAATCAGACGATCTTTTTACCGATAAAAAATCTGTGCATGAGCTGTGACCTGCAAGAAGAAGAAGAAGAAAAAGAATAAGAATTCCAGGCCGCTATTATATTTGACATGAAAAAGTATACCGGTTGCAACAATGTATCTATTTGTATCCGAATAAAAACATCTGTATCCGAAATGGATACAAATAGATACATTGTTGCAACCGGTATACTTTTTCAAAGCAAATATATTACCGGAGCTCTCTGCAGGGACAGAAGTAATTAAATGCCGGCTGTAGACGGGCCGAAAATCGGCTGATTTTTTTTAACATTGGTGGTAACGTCGGCCTATTGAACAACCGATTTTTTCGTTTTTTTTTAAACGGATGGTTTTCGACCCGTCTATGGCCTGCATAAGATACAAGTCAGATTTTGGGCATCCTCTGCAACAAAAATATAATTTTTGGTGAGATATGGGACTAGGAAATCACGTCTAAAGGGGTGCAGACCCTGCCACTTCCCTCAAAGCTCGGCAGGTGCAGCATCTGATTGATAATTATAAAGCCACTCCCATACAGATTCACTTTGCACATGGACACAGACAAACAAACAGTTATTTCTTCAGAATAACAAAAGGACGGACTCTGCAACAAAGTTTGTAAAAGGGGTGCTCCCGCAGGCCCCTGCACTTCCGCCTCAAATGCTCGGCTGGACGCGCTCGCCCATCTTCTGATAGTTGATAATTATCCCTGCAATGTACAGAGATCCCCCAGAGGGGAATGTTTTTTCCCAGCAAAAGTGGAGTAATCTTTAATCAGATAAAATATATATATTCTGCTTGTTTATCTGCTAAAGCCAAAGCAAACACGGGGTCACTTTAAGGACCAGTTTACACATGCGTTGTCTGATGAGCGATCTGTGTTTGGAACGCTCTTTAGAGACATTCATCAGGTGGTGAGGTGGAGTTGTATCGCCTCCTCTCTGCCTGATTTAACCCCTTGAACCCGACAATAGTGTGCTGCAACCTCATGTGTCACATGTTGTTGCATTAAGTTAAATGGGTCGCATTCAGCGGGTGGTACTTCCCACTGAATGTGATAGGTTGAATAATTTTTGCCATGTGGCATATGTACTCCCCCCTCCGCTGCCTTTGCAGTTTGGGGGGCAGTAATAAAATGGCTCAGCCACGTATTTTTCCCGTTTCCCCTCCCTGCCAAATATAAATGAGGCCTAAGGACAGCCTCACTAGTGACTCAGACCTGAATTCAGTTTGCTCTCCTACTCTTGTATAGGCTTCACAGAGACAATATGTGACAAACAGGGTGTCACTGCCAAAAAAAGACTGAACATTTATTCCCCACGCTGTCTGAAACTAGAAACAATAATTACAGCTGAACTCAAAACACAAAACACTTTAATTGAAATATATTTCTTGGAGCCTCTAAGGATATAAATTCACTTTATGTACCAAATTCCTTAACAAAGCCAGATATTACCTTGTAAAAGTAGCAGTGACATCATCACTGTGCTGTACATAGTCTTTGCAGACAGCAGAGCTGTGGGAAGGATCCAGCAGACTCCACCCACTACAGGCTGCCTGCAGAAAACTAGAGGAGGGGGCGGAGACAAGACCAGTCACCCTGCACAAGGAGAGAGAGCAGCAGAGAGCGGTCTTTATGACAGGAAGCTCCTGCACAGAGGTGAAGGTTCACACTGGATTTTGAGCTGCGTTTTTGCCACCTGCCAATTGCCCCTCCTTAACCACTTCCACTCCGGAAGGTTTTACCCCCTTCATGACCAGGCCATTTTTTACTATTCAGCACTGCGCTACTACTTTAATTGTAAAAGTAGCAGTGACATCATCACTGTGCTGTATATAGTCTTTGCAGACAGCAGAGCTGTGGGAGGGACCCAGCAGACTCCACCCACTACAGGCTGCCTGCAGAAAACTAGAGGAAGGGGCGGAGACAAGACCAGTCACCCTGCACAAGGAGAGAGAGCAGCAGAGAGCGGTCTTTATGACAGGAAGCTCCTGCACAGAGGTGAAGGTTCACACTGGATTACTGGGCAGATCTGGCAGAAATACACAAAGCGCACCAAGATCCAAGGAAGAATACATATGACTCGTTATTATTTATGTATTTAGTCAATATTTGCTGATCCCGGAGCTCAGATTTAATTGGGGGTTGGGCTTTAGTCCCGTCTGTCACTTTTGTTTTATAACTTCTAGCAAATGTCTTCACTGTTTATAGAGAGCAAAATGCTGCTGCAGGAAGGAGACATCGCTGTGGATCTTGAACGCAACGCTTTAAAGTGTGATGACAACTCCTGCAGATGGAGTAAAAACAGCACTGGATTCGTGAACATTCCCTACACCATCTCCTCCGACTACAGTGAGTATGCTGACTCCTCCCATGCAAACACATGAATCTGCAGTGCTGGGGCCCCTGGGGGCCATTTCCCACAAGGACACTATGGGGTTTATTTACTAAAGCTGGAGAGTCCAAAATCAGACTCCCTTCTGCATAGAAACCAATCAGCTTCCAGGTTTCATTGCCAAAGCTTCATTGAACAAGCTGAGGTTAGAAGCTGTAACTTAAATCAAGGAATGCGCTAAAACCACAAACTATTCCTAATTTAGTGTAGAAACATTAGTGCAAAAGATATATATATCTATTATCAATTAATATCAAAAAATATCAAAATTATGTGCAAAACATAAGTAATTTAAATAATTAAATTTGTGAATATAAAAAAAAAAAAAAAAAAAAATGTCCAATTCTGAATTTCTTCAAATGTCCAAATAAATCCTTTCCAAATTCAGGTGCTCTCAAAGAAATTGTGCCAAAATCCACCACCAAAAGTAAAGTTGGGTAACTCACCAGAGCTCCATGCTGATCAATCTCTAGATCAGCAAAAAACGCTTTTTGCTCTGGGAGCAGATGCAATGAATCAACTTCTCAGGTGTGATGATCAATAGCTACACATTCATCCATAAGGTAGGTATCCACCACTCAATATAATGGTTCCAGGAGCATTATATCACTCTCTCTTTTTATATCTCTCCACCGAGGTCATGTTTGGGAATGAAAGAGAAAAATCATGGTGCAGCCAGTTTTTTTATAAAAGTATCCAACAATTTAATAAAGATTTACACTCACAAAAAGGGTGTCTTCACCGACCTCTTCAATGACCTCGGTGGAGAGATATAAAAAGAGAGAGTGATATAATGCTCCTGGAACCATTATATTGAGTGGTGGATACCTACCTTATGGATGAATGTGTAGCTATTGATCATCACACCGGAGAAGTTGATTCATTGCATCTGCTCCCAGAGCAAAAAGCGTTTTTTGCTGATCTAGAGATTGATCAGCATGGAGCTCTGGTGAGTTACCCAACTTTACTTTTGGTGGTGGATTTTGGCACAATTTCTTTGAGAGCACCTGAATTTGGAAAGGATTTATTTGGACATTTGAAGAAATTCAGAATTGGACATTTTTTTTTTATATTCACAAATTTAATTATTTAAATTACTTATGTTTTGCACATAATTTTGATATTTTTTGATATTAATTGATAATAGATATATATATCTTTTGCACTAATGTTTCTACACTAAATTAGGAATAGTTTGTGGTTTTAGCGCATTCCTTGATTTAAGTTATAGCACTAAGAAATTTATTTGGTTTTCTTTGAGGTGGAATTGCTGCTTTAAAGTATTAAGGGTGTGGCGCTTTTATTACACTTGTGATATTGTGAGGTTAGAAGCTGATTGGTTTCTATGCAGAAGGGAGTCTGAGTTTGGACTCTCCAGCTTTAGTAAATAAACCCCTATGAGACTGAAGACTTTGTCTACTCTCTGTGTTGATCCTGAAGGTCCTGTAGAAGACAGTAAGACAGCCGGCTAGAGTAGAAGAGGCAACACCTGGATGAAATGTCCATTTTCAATTATTTAGGGATTTTTGCAGGTTCCTATGGTTATTGTATGATAGCTTTGTGCAGGAAAGGGACTTAACTATTCCTGAGGGGGGTCACAAGATTCTCTGCAGCTCAAAAGGCACACAGTCATCTCCTCTTTCTCTTCAGGGTCTTGTACGCTGCAGTTTAGCCAGTTGTCCTGCTCAGTTCAGTGGCAGCTTTGCTTCCAGGTAGCAGAGTGTCTCCCCTAGAGCAGAGTTGGTTTAATTTACATAATAATGTATTGATATAGCGCCATCATCTGCCGTGACAACCTGCAAAGTGATAGATATAACAAGGGAGCATGAAGGGGGGGGGGGGGGGGGGTAATACAATACAGGAAATATTCCAGACACTGGGACTTACAGCTGTTTAGTAAAATAAAGCAATAAAGCTCCGTTTAGACTTCGTTTGGGGGAGCGGACAAATTTGGGCCGTTGAGCTGTGTTTTTGCCACCTGCCAATTGCCCCTCCTTAACCACTTCCGCTCTGGAAGGTTTTACCCCCTTCATGGCCAGGCCATTTTTTTACTATTCAGCACTGCGCTACTACTTTAATTGGTAATAGTGCGGTCATGCAACTCTGTACCCAAAAGAAGCATATAATTATTTTTCAAACAAATAGAGCTTTCTTTTGGTGATATTTGATGACCGTTGGGTCTTTATTTTTTGCTGTAGAAACAAAAAAGCCTGAAAATTTTGGGGAAAAAAATTTTTTTTTTACTTTCTGCTATAAAACATATCCAATAAAAAAAATCAAATTTCTTCAAAAAAATTTAGGCCAAATGAATTTTGCTACATGCCTTTGGTTAAACAAATCTTCAATAAGCGTCTATCGATTGGTTTGCGTGAAAGTGAACGCGTCTACAAACTAAAGTGTATATAAGCTGGAATTTTTATTCTTTTTATTTATTTATACTAATAGCAGCGATCAGCAACCTATAACAGGACTGCAATAGTGCGGTGGGCAATCTGACACTAACTGACACTGACATTACCAGTGACATTAATACAGTGATCAGTGATAATGCTGTACACTGTCACTGTACTAATAACACTGACTGGGAAGGGGTTAACATCTAGGGTGATCATGGGGTTCAATGTGTGCCTCACTATGTGTAATGTGTGTAAAGTGTGCTGCTTTTACTACTAGATCTCTCGTCCGTTTCTCATTCCTGCTTCACAGGGATGAGAAACAGACAGATCGCTTCCTCTGTACAGAGCTCTGTGTTGTTTACTAACACAGAGCTCTGGGCTGTGATTGCACACAGCCGATCAGCAGGTACTGGCCATTAATCACTGGCTGGGACTTGATGACAGGCTCCTGCTGTGTACAATCACATGGGGGTACCGGGCGGGGCGCGTATGCGTGTGCCCTAAACCCGGAATTAGGCAGCAATGTACCTTTACCTTCAGCAGCCGCCTGTCCACAGTACATTGTGGGCACTAAGTCATTAAGCTGCAATAGGCAGCAGATGGGGATGTTAACACGCTATAGCTGCAATGCTTCCGCGATGCAAAGTTCACCCAGCAAGACCGCCAAACGCTACACAGTCAAGCAAATAGTTAAGTGCTGCGAGCGCCCCCCCCCCCCCCAACCACATGCAGTGCACACAGTTGCAGCATGTGTGTCGGCAAAAATGGTGTTTAAACAGGCGGTGAGGAGACTTCACATCACTTCCCTACCACCTGTCTCTGCACCATGATGTGAACATGAGTCGGGATTCAGAGGAAAAGGAGATTTAGACATGTCCAAAATCTACCCTAACAATAACGTGGAACATAGCTGTGACAGAAAGAGCAGCAAACTGTATTTACATTCAGTACATACTTTGATGTATTCTTGCATTGTTTACAGTAAAATACAACTTTTTAATGTTAGTTTCACATTTTTACATGCTTGTCATTCCATAATTTTGATATTGCATTCATTGAGTAGATAATTGTTATTCAGCCACTAGAGGGAGCCAACGCACCATTGTCATTCAATCCCTTCAATGTGCCAACTTTAAAGGATAAGTTCACCTTTTGGACAAAAATAATGTGAATTTATTATTTTTGTCCAAAAGAAGCCTTGAAAGCATTGCACCACCGATCAGTATATCGCTGATGCCATGCAGGTCTCCTGCAGACCTGTCAGTATATTTGCTTGCTATATGGGATGTACGGGTCAAGCAGACATTCTGACAGGAAGCTTCAATGAACTACCACGGCGCTCCACAGCTATCGGAACCTGCAGATCATTCATTCATTCATTCATTCAATTCATTCACAGTCCATGAATGAATGAATGAATGATGCGCCTGTGTGGCGGAGCCATGCACGGCCACACTGTTTTCAAATTTGACAGATATAGTATGTTGAGACTTCTCCCCGTATTATCTGTCAGGGGGGGGGGGGGGGGGGGGGCTGCAGCTATGGGAACATGTTATATGTTCCACCCTAAAAATGGTTCCAAAGGTGAACATATCTGGAATGAGATGAATATGGCTGCCTCCGTTTATATATACATTTATACACACATAAACATACATACATACATATATTATATATGTATATATACACACACATATACACATACACACACATATATATTTATATATATACTTATACGTATATGTACACGGGTGAAACTCGAAAAATTAGAATATCGTGCAAAAAGTTCATTTATTTCAGTAATGAAGCTCTTAAAAGGTGAAACTAATATATGAGATAGACTCATTACATGCAAAGCAAGATAGTTCAAGCCGTGATTTGTCTCACTGTGATGATTATGGCTTACAGCTCATGAAAACCCCAAATCCACAATCTCAGAAATTAGAATATTACATGCAATCAATAAAACAAGGATTGTACATAGAACAATATCGGACCTCTGAAAAGTATAAGCATGCATATGTACTCAGTACTTGGTTTGGGCCCCTTTTGCAGCAATTACTGCCTCAATGCGGCGTGGCATGGAAGCTATCAGCCTGTGGTACTGCTGAGGTGTTATGGAAGACCAGGATGCTTCAATAGCGGCCTTCAGCTCTTCTGCATTGTTCCGTCTCATGTCTCTCATCTTTCTCTTGGCAATGCCCCATAGATTCTCTATGGGGTTCAGGTCAGGCGAGTTTGAGCATGGCCAATCAAGCACAGTAATCCCATGGTCATTGCACCAGGTTTTGGTCCTTTTGGCAGTGTGGGCAGGTGCCAAGTCCTGCTGGAAAATGATGTCAGCATCCCCATAAAGCTCGTCTGCGGAAGGAAGCATGAAGTGCTCCAAAATCTCCTGGTAGACGGCTGCGTTGACCCTGGACTTAATGAAGCACAGTGGGCCAACACCAGCAGATGACATGGCTCCCCAAATCAACACAGACTGTGGAAACTTCACACTGGACTTCAAGCATCTTGCAGTGTGTGCCTCTCCATTCTTCCTCCATACTCTGGGTCCTTGGCTTCCAAATGAGATGAAAAAGTTGCTCTAATAAGAAAATAGGACTTTGGGCCAATCAGCAACAGACCAGGTCTGTTTTTCTTTAGCCCAGGTAAGACGCTTCATATGTTTTTGTTGTTCAGGAGCGGCTTGAGAAGAGGAATACAACATTTGAAGCCCATGTCCAGGATTCGTCTGTGTGTGGTGGCTCTTGATGCACTGACTCCAGCCTCAGTCCACTCCTTGTGAAAGTCCCCAACACTTTTGAATGGCCTTTTCCTGACAATCCTCTCCTGGCTGCGGTCATCCCTGCTGCTTGTGCACCTTTTTCTTCCACACTTTTCCCTTCCACATAACTTTCTATTAATGTGCTTTGATACAACACTTTGGGAACATCCAACTTCTTTTGCAATTACCTTTTGAGGCTTTCCCTCCTTATGGAGGGTGTCAATGATGGTTTTCTGCACAACTGTCAGGTCAGCAGTCTTTCCCATGATTGGGATTCCTAGTGAACCAGACTGAGAGACCATTTAAAGGCTCAGGAACCCTTTGCAGGTGTTTATGGCTTAATTATCTGATTAGAGTGGGACACTTTGAGCCGAGAATTTTGCACCTTTTCACAATATTCTCATTTTCTGAGATTGTGGATTTGGGGGTTTTCATGAGCTGTAAGCCATAATCATCACAATGATGACAAATCACGGCTTGAACTATCTTGCTTTGCATGTAATGAGTCTATCTCATATATTAGTTTCACCTTTTAAGTTGCATTACTGAAATAAATGAACTTTTGCACCATATTCTAATTTTTTGAGTTTCATCTGTATATCTATCTATCTATCTATCTATCTATCTATCTATCTATCTATCTATCTATCTATCTATCTATCTATCTATCTATCTATCTATCTATCTATCTATCTATCTATCTATCTATCTTTAAAAATAGATAGATAGATAGATAGATAGATAGATAGATAGATAGATAGATAGATAGATATGTGTATATACTGTATATATAAGTATGTGTGCGTGTATATATATATATATATATATATATATATATATACATAGAATCTTGCCTTTTACAACATTACTGTATGTCGATGAACTAACGTACGTTAAAATTTTTACATACACAGTATATCCAAAAATAGTTGCAAACACCATTCATTACCTTTAAGGTGTGGAGGAAAAGTTTTGCTAAATGAATATAGGAAATAATATACAAATCTGAATAAAGTGGGTGTGGGGAAAACGCAACGCCAGTATTATTTCACAAGATGTGCACCTAATAAAGGGGTCTTCTGGTTCCACAGGTTCCTCTGATAAAGGGGTATTTCTTGGTGCCATGGAAGAATTTGCGACTCTCACCTGTGTGCGCTTCATCCCACGCACCACAGAATCTAACTTTCTGCAAATTATGGCTGACAGCAGGTATGTGAAAAATTCCTCTCATCTCTACCTTTTATTTTATTTTTGATTTGAATGTAGAGCCAGTACTCATATTTATGCAGCTGCCAAAAAATGTAAATGTCCCTTTCTTACAACCATCGCAGATGTAGTTAGTTGAGACATCCTGGAACTGGCATTGCTTTGCTCCTCTAGTTGTATCGCTCTTCTATGGAACTCTTTTCAGAGCTTGAGGCCAAATTGCAGACAGCCGCGCGATGAAAAATGGTCTTCTTCGTAATGGCCTTATGCTTTTTGCTCCAAGACACCCTTCTCAAAGGGGTCATTCACATGTGCGGCTACAATTGCGGTCCCTCTGAAAAGCGATCCACGGTGGATCAGGTGGTGCTGCCTGTTTCTGGTGTTAACCCTCAAAATGCCACCTCACTGCACAGCAACCACATGCACTGCAATCTTACCCACTTGAGTGGGTGACATTTGGTCGCAGTACCACCCGTGGAATGCGACATGCCTTATAAACATTTACCTACTGGGGTGATTTTCGAAAATGTTCACGTTTTCACATGTTCAAATCAGCATTTGTTTTAGGGCCGGTTCACAGCAGATGCAGTCCAGCTCATTTTTTTTTATGCATCACAAACACATGGACAGTAGGTTATGTGGGCTCCAATGGCATAGTTCAGACCAGGGGCGGACTGACAACTCATGGGGCCCCCCGGGCAATAGGGGATCATGGGGCCCCTGTGTCCTTGCCCAAACTCAAAAAAGCCTATGAAAAAGGTACCAGGGGCATCTCATGGGGCCCCCTACTGACCCCGGGCCCTCGGGCAGTGCCCGAGTTTCCAAATGGTTAGTCCGCCCCTGGTTCAGACTAGTTCCAGTGCAGTCAAAAAAATTAGAACATGCTGCATTTTTTTTGCGCTGAACTGTACTGGAAAACGGCAAAATGCATCAAAGACACACCGGATCACTTCCAAACGCATCAAAAATACACTGAATGCATTACAGCAACAAACAAGGAAACAGGAACCTTGTAAAAAAAACAAGAGTGGAAAATGCACTGGGATGCGCTGAAAACATGCATGCAGAAATGCATCTGGACTGCGTTTCTGTGGTGTGAACGGCCTTAGTAAAATTACTTATTATATATTTTCTGAAAACTGATGCCTTGGAGAATAAAATGGTGGCTGTTGCAATTTTTTATATCACACGATAGGAAAAAACACACACTTCAATGAATTTTAGCGCACACAAACACAAGAAAATACCCTTTTTTAAAATCTGAAATATGATGTTACATCAAGTAAATAGATACCAAACATGCCAAGATTTAAAATTTGACATTGCCTGTGAATTGGCAAAAAACTGCAGTACCTAAAATTGTTCATAGGTGACACTTTGAATGCCTTTCCAGGTTATCAGTTTAGAGTTAAATATGAGTCCTGGAGCTAGAATTATTATTTTAAAAAAATATTTATTTTATTCACATTTTTTTACACTTTTTTATTTTTCATTTAACTTTATTGCTATCACAAAGGGTCAACAAGCTCCATTGTGATAGCTTTGGGCAGTCACAGGTCCTTTTAATGGAGACATCATGGGTCTATTAGACCCCTGATTTCTCCTCTGCTCTCATGTTTGGTCAGATGCTTCTCTGGCTGTAACAGCCTGGCCAAGACAGCTCTGAAACCAAAAGTGATGAAATCCCCGTTGATTCGGGTTTCATTAGTCACAGAGGAGATGGGAGATCATGGCTGCAGCTGCCCTGACATACACCGTTCCCTACACTTTAATGTGCTCGGCTACTGGTTGCAGCACCTGGCACATCGCCCGTTGTGATGACATAATAATATGATTTCTCCCGTTCCCCGCAGATGTTGGTCCTATGTCGGTAAGGTTGGAGGAAGTCAAATTGTATCGGTGACAAGCAGCTGCATGGTCCACGGCTCCGTCCAGCATGAGCTGAACCACGCTCTGGGATTCTTCCATGAACAGAGTAGGAGTGACCGCGACAACTACATCAATATCACATACAGCAACATCATGCCAGGTATCAGACTGGGTGATCTCATTACATTACAAGGGGAGTATCATTACAAACATTTGCATAGCTGATCGTCCATCAAAACTGCATGTGAATTTGTTCTGTGCAAATGAGGCAAAATGGAATGTTCTAAGGCTATATTGTCTGCAGATCAAACTTGAAAATGGGGAAAATACTACATTGTAGCCACAAGATGGCGCTGGGTATCATAGGAAATAGGTATGCCCATCAGTGCCATCCAGTGGCCATAATGCAGTATTGTCTTCATTGGCATATTCAGTCTACAGAGAATATAGCCTGAGAATATTAGATTTTTCCCAAGATGCACAGAATGACTTTACATGCAGGGGAGGAGGTGGATCAGTGGAAATTTCCTTTTAAGTGGAGCTCCAGCCTACAATTTTTAGACCTCAGGCTCAATGGGCATCAAAAATGCCTCTTTTATGGGCGTTTTGAATTTTTCTTTTTTTCCCGTTCATGTTAGCCTATATATCCATATACTTTTGGCAGACAAAATGCCTGACACATCTAAACACACCTAGGTGCATTTAGCACTTGAGCATCCATTCATAAAGTAATATTCTGGCCAATGCAATGAATGAACGCCCAAACACTTGACACCTAAATTACGTCTAGAAGCAGCCTTAGGTGCATTTTTTGTGCTGCTTTATTTTTGTTAGGAGAAAAGGCGTTCGGAAGAACTGGGCAAATGCCTGAGGCCTTCGTGTTTTGGGTGGAGTGTGGAAAGGCTGGAATATCATTGGGGTTTTTATAGCTATGCGTGCCTAAGTGTGGGGAGATTTCCCCTTACTTCCTGTCTCAGTGACTACACAGGAAATGGGCAGAAATTTCCTCATTGGTACAAGGGGAAAAAAAAAAGAAAACTGTGGCCCAGTGATTATTCATAGCACCTTTGTTCAGAAGATGCCAGTTGCTGTCTCTTTCATTAAGGCCTCATGCACACCGTTTAGCTGTAGGTGGAGGGCTTAGGCGCACCGTCCAGCTTTGCTGCCAGCAGCCTGTCATGCTTTAGGGGACGAATGCTCAGAGTGCAAGCAGTCTGTGTTCCGGGCATTCATCCCTAGGCACCTACTGCCCTGAACAGAGGTACCACCGAGGGCACTGCCCATCCCCATCCTGGCTGTCAGTCTCTCATAGAGGTTCACAGGCTGCTGGCAGCAATGCTGGACGGTGCGCCTATGCCCTCCACCTACAGCTAAATGCCCAGTGTGCCTGAGTCACTGACCCTGAACAAGCATGCAGCAAGTGTTGTGACGACTCCTGACTCCATGTTTGTTTTGGGTCTTTGAACACTGGATCATCATGGCAGCCAGACAACTAGCATTTGTAGGATGTGAGCAATGGAGGCCAACCCATATCTCTGTGAAGGTTTCCTTTTAATACAATGGAATAATGTGATATAATGCTGCAATTTTGCCTCCTTCAGGGGCCGAGGGGAACTTTCAGAAGTTTGACACACAGAATCAAGGCATGGAATACGACTATGGCTCCGTCATGCATTATTCAAGGTACAGATGGTGGAAATTATATAGAAAGATAAAAAAAAACTTGGCACTTTGTATTTGCCAGAAAAACGGTTTTATTCTCAGACTTCATTCAAATGTGGGGTAGAGGGGGGGGGCGGCAAAAAAATAGTGTTTGAGCTGTGTTTTTGCCACCCCTCATGCTGAACTAGGCAGCGGATGGGGGTGTTTTCATGCTATTGTGCTCCACACCTGCGGCAAAATTTACCTGACATGCAGCAATCGGTGGGCGACAAGCACACTCAAGCAAATCAGTAAGTGCTCCAAACACCCTGCAACCACATGCAATGCACGTGGCTGTGGAGTGTTTGTCAGCAAAAATGGGGTTAAAACATGATGAGGAGGCATCACATCGCTTCCTCGCCACCTATCAGTAGCCTCTGAAGCGCGATCCCAATTCGGATCAGGCTTCAGAGGAAAAGGAGATTTAGGCACACAGCTAAATCTACCATTAAACTGCTGCAATATCCTTGTACGCGGCACAGCCGGATCTATTAACATTGAAACATTCACTGATCCTGATTCTTCAACCCCCCAAAAATGTAATATATTGCAGGTTATCGGTCATCAGATTCATTTTCTTTATTTCAGGATTACTCCTTTGTTATCACCTGGTGATCCTGCCAGTAACACACTTCCTGTCTTATAGTAACAACACTGAATCACTGCACTGTATTTATGGAGGAGGGGTGGTCACTCTGGGCTGTTCTGATTTTGATTGTACACCCCCCCTCCTCATCTCCTTACATTGGGAGGAGGGGTTGTGTAGTTCACAGAAGATAGCTGGGAAAGCTGACATTTTTTTGAGATTTCAGTTCCGGGCACAGAGAGTTGCATGGACACTGGATTTCTGTCAGGATCAACAGGTTCTTTTTTATTTTTTTGGACTTCCAAAAAATGTTCTTAGCACAATTTAGCACTCCTTCAGTGATATTGGATTAATGTGACACTAACTCTGGTTTAAAAAAACAATTCTATTCCTGTGTTCTTAACTCATAAAATGTCCTTCTATTGCTGTCAGCCTCCTCCAAATCAACAAATTCTTTTTTTTCCGTCATCATTCAAAGGTCCCACAATATGGAGGAACTGGTGTCAGTGGGAGGAATAGTGCCCCATCATTGGTGTTAGTGGAAGGAATAGTGCCCCATCATTGGTGTCAGTGGGAGGAATAGTACCCCATCATTGGTGTCAGTGGAGGAATGGTGCCCTATCATTGGGGTCAATGGACGGCATAGTGCCTCATCATTGGTGTCAGTGGGAGGAATAGTACCCCATCATTGGTGTTAGTGGAAGGAATAGTGCCCCATCATTGGTGTTAGTGGAAGGAATAGTGCCCCATCATTGGTGTTAGTGGAAGGAATAGTGTCCCATCATTGGTGTCAGTGGAAGGAATAGTACCCCATCATTGGTGTCAGTGGAAGGAATAGTGTCCCATCATTGGTGTCAGTGGGAGGAATAGTGCCCCATCATTGGTGTTAGTGGAAGGAATAGTACCCCATCATTGGTGTTAGTGGGAAGAATGGTTCACCTTCTCTTTCTCACTCTTTCTTGCGCTCTTGTACAGTGCCATGAATAAAGTGTACATTTTGTACACTTCAAATAAAGTTGGTCCAAAACATAAAAAAAGGGGGGGGGGGAGCCATGTAATGCGCTGAATCCCGCACCACACTGCACCTAGCGCAGTAGGACGTGGGCAGCAGCCAGACAAGTAAAGCCAGCTGTCAGTTCTAATGTGAAATGGCTTTTAAATTTTTTTTTTTTATTTCTTCAGTTGCTTCCTGGTATCTGGCCTAGGCCAAAATGATGTCATACATCCCAGGAGTCTTCATGGGCATTTTTTTTTTGTCATCTGGAGCAGGGGTTTTCTCAGCTAAGCACACCCTCCTGTCTGCTTGCCTGAGTTATGGGCAGATGGATTCCAGGAATTAAATGCTACATAAATCATCTGCCATTACTCAAGATGGCCACAGCTAGAAATGCTAGGGGATGAGTTCTCAGCAGAATAAAGCACAGAGACCTGGATAGATGGGGGAGTTTGTTTTGAATATTAAAAATGAAAGTAATAGCAGTTTGTCTTTATGGTGCTCAGATACAGTTTCATTGCTTTTTAATAACAGAGAGCCGCTATTCACGAAGCCAATGCCCGAGGTTTCCTTCTCTTGCTGACATCTCCTTCTTCCGCCAGGTCTTCCTGCAATTCCTCGCCTTTGATGTGCAGACCTCCATGGACTGTACTTCTGATTACCTGAGGATCTACAATGGGCCCACCACTTCCTCCCCGATGTTATTGGTTAGAGCCTGTGGATCCGGCCAGCTTCCCCCGATGATCTCTACAACCAATACAATGCTCCTTGAATTTGTCAGTGACAACAGTGCCGAGGCCACTGGATTCAAGGCTGAATACAGCACTGGTAAGACTTCACACCACAGTGCCGAGCTTTACCTCATTTTATCATATGAAGTTCTGGAAAGAAAATAATAAAATGTAATAAATGGGAACCTTTAGGACTCATTCACACAAGCTTTGGTCTCTGAAGGGCAGTCACATTCAGATTGCTCTTCAGAGAGCATTTGACAGGCAGCGAGGAGGGGCTGTATCATTGTATCTCCTCATCACTGCTTGCTTTAACCTTTTGAAAACTGCATCCACTTGAATGGGTCACGCTTGGCGGGTGAAAACCAACAGGGGTATAATTCTTGCTACAACCACAAAGCAAAGCATGTGTACAACCCCAGCCTCTGCCTAGGCAGCTAAGAGGGTGCATTTGATTTGCGGGACGGTAAAAACACAGCTCAACTATGGGGTTTTCTTGTCCCACATCCACTAGTGTGAATGAGCCCCCACTGAGAGCTTTACATTTTTCCCATTGCTTAGCTTCCTTTGAACTGCTATCTGTCACTGTCCTGGTCACTGATGTCACCAGCAGGGATAAGCATGCAGATCTGGAACAGCAGAATGACGTCAGTGCACCCAGGCCCAAAATGGGGTGGGCAGGAGGGACAAGTGCCCTGGGCACAGCGGAGCAAAGGAGCAGAGAATGGACACAGGGCAGTAAATCTATTCTACAGCATGTATTAACAGTGGGGGAGGGGGCGCAGTCCCACATCCTTGCCCCGGGTGCTAGATGAACCTATCCCAGTGCTGAGTGCACCTAATTCCATAATTCTTATATGTCAGTGACTCAGAAAATGCTGACATGGAATCAGATCCGGTAGAAACTAGAATTTCCAGAAGGGGAGGACAGCAGCGGAGGGGGGCAGCATGTTATATCAGTAAGGCCTCATGCACACAGGATGGTTTTTTTCCTCCCCTGGATGCCTTTGCTCCGGGGGAGAGAGAAAATGCAGCTTAAAAGCTCCCAAAGCTGCGTTTTGCATATGTTTTGGGCGTTAATGCATTCTATTGGCCAGAATATTTATTTATTTTGGCCATTAGGATGGATTAATGCACAAAAGCAAAATTATTATTATTATTATACAGTATTTATATAGCGCCAAAGGGTTTCCTCAGTGCTGTACAAAGGCGA